CGGGCTGTGGCCGTCCGCGAGCGTGTGACCCGGCTCGGCGTTGCGCCGCCGCCGTCGGGGCCGCCGTCGGGAGTCCGCTGGGCGGCAGGTGGCGCTGCCAGCAGCCGCCGGCCGGCGCCCGTCTCAGGTGGCCGAGATGGCGACGATTGCGCCCAGACGCTCGTCGGCAGCACCTGCCGCCGACCTCCCCGGCGTCGCCGGCGCCAGCGGCTGCCTCCGCCACTGCAGGCGGCAAGCTGTCACTGCACCTTCAGCATCCCCTGTGGCTGCACTTGCCCGACGACTTCTCGTAGCCACTGCAGCCGGACGATGTGTGGCATCGACGTACGTTGACGTTTCGCTGTGAATAAGCTAAGAAAATAAGCGTCTTTCAGCCATGCCATCGTTACCACCGCGCGTGTAACCAAGCGGTACATTCCACCTGGTCCGAACGGTCGTTTTTGCTCGTTCCTGCATGGGTGGCAGTACCGTCGTTTGCCCACATCTCTTGTCCTTCCGTCGCCATATAGTCCGAGCCGGATCGGCGAAAAACGGGCACCCGTCTGCCTTGAATTCAGCTCCAATTGGCCGGTTTTTCGGTGATAAATCCGGCCCGTCGCGTTATTGCCGTGACTGGGCCGGCGAGGTTACAGGGGTCGGTAAGGTCGAGGGTCAAACGAGCCTCTTAGAACAAAGAGGCCCGTCTCGGTGGTCATGGCTGGATGAGCTCATGTGATCTGGGCTGTGTGAGCTGATGCTTGTGCCCGATAGCTGTCCGGCAGTCACGTGATCGGGCAATGATTCCTCTTGATTTAACTGCTCGTAATAATGACACCCGTGCTTATGCCCAGCGCCGAACACTCCCGACACCGTCCGGGGACTGGGGCTAACAACGAAAACGGCTTCGGGGCTCGAGTCGGAGAATACTGCGGCTCGTTCTGATCTAATTGCTATTTTAGTTTTTGTCGTAAATGCGCTCATTATGGTGCAATGATGCTGCAAAGTCCCGGCTTAGGCATGGGCACGAAAATTTATGAGTGTAGCGTTACCTTGAGGTCAGTGGATCAGAACAATGCCATGCAATGACCAGTGGCCATACTTTGTTGTTCTACATTTGCTAAGGGCTGTAAATAGCTGTTGTCGATTAGAATCCTGGTGTGGTTTTAGTAAAGGATAAACTTAGAAAACGTCTTTGTGCATTTAGCTTCCTTCGGGGTCAGTAATGCCATCTGATCACGGAAATGTTTTGTAACTCGGAAGTCGTTGCGGCTGTTGCTCCGTTTGTTAGGAAGCACTGACACACCTATCATCCTTGTTAGGCTGGCATGCTTTGGTATGCCGGCGTGCACACAGCGTTCGCCATTGTTTTCCCTTTCCTTCGACTTCACCGACGGCCCAGCCTGAGGTCGCGCACCCTCCACGTCGCGAGGGCATTGCTGTCGTTTATGGGGGCTGACTGGTTATCAGTGTACCATCACATCCGTTCACGTGGTACTCGTGACCGGACGGTCGACAGTGCCTGCCTCGCGGTCTGATCGGAGCACGGTGTCGACGGCCCGGCTCATCTCGGCGTGACAGTCGGCCGCATCTTCAGGGGACCACCTGGCGCGGCGCCCAAGGCCAATCCCAGAGCCATTGTGTGACGGCGGCCTTGTGCCCCCGCCCTCCCCCTCTCCCGCACCGATCCTGACGGACAAAAAATGCCCCACTACGCCAGTTGTGAACGCCACGCGAGTGGGGCCCGGGTCGCCCGCCGCCGCGCCGCCGGTCCATGGGAAGAGGCCGCCCTTGGAACGCGAGTCGGATTGTCCGTAAGGAGGACAAGGCTGCCAGATTGGTAGTACGCTAAAGGACATGGCGGGTGGGGCGAGTGGCCGGAGCCAGCGCCGCCGCGAGGTGATTGGCCGCAGTGAAGGGGGCAGAGTCCGCTGCCGGCAAATGGGTCAAGTTAAACTGTTCGGCGGTGGGATGGCGTCATTCTAAAGCTAGCTCGCGCCCGACTCCGCGCGTGGGTTAGCTTTGCGTTGCGTGGACTGCGGCGGCCCCACGCCGGGGACCGGACTGGCCGGACCAGAGAGGCAGGTGTTCCTCATCACGCCGTGGTCCGCCGTTCGTCAGTCTTCGCACGTCGCGCCGGCCACCCCCCCCTGTCGCCGGAACGCTTGGCCACCTGAGCGCCATAAAACGGAACGGAACGGAGCGGTCCGCCGCCGCCGTCCCGGGGATAAATCGTGGTTTGGCGCCGCCTGGCGCGCCGCTGACCCGGACCCGGTCCAAGGTCAGCGGCGCCGGGTCCCGGCCGCCCGCCGACCCGACCCGGCCACCAATCTCTGCCGGCGATCGGGGCCGGCCGGCGGCGCGCGCGCGCGGCCTCTCGACGCGCCGCCAGTGCCGTCAAGGGCGGTGCTCTGACCGGCCTGGGATAACGGTCAGCGGCCGGCCGACCGGTCGGGGCAGCGCAACCGGCAGGTCCCGAGACAGGGCGTCTGACAGGTCACCGCCGCTCAGAGCTGCGGCAGCCATTCATCCCCGCCGTCTGTCTGGTACCCAGCCAGCGAGCGCCGTCACGCCCAGCGTCCTCATGCTCTTCCGCCGCCGCTAAGCGTGTGTGTACGCTGCCGGAACCGTGCTGGGACCCTCCACCATTTGATGTCCGGCGGCAGTCCGACTTTTGCCTTTGGCTCCGACCGCCTCCGCCCTCTGCGTGCCTGTGTGACCCGCACGTACACTGTCCGAGCGCCGCCGCCGTCAGACGTGTGTACCGCTGCCTCCTCCAGCCCAGTGGCATGCCCGACTGCCGTCACGTCTCCGCCCCGTCCTGCCCCACCGCCAGTGTAGCAGCAGCCGGCCCGCCGCGAATGTTCCCAGAACACCTTCAGCCGGCGCTAACGGTGTCGGAGCGGCGCTGCTTTTAACCACGAACGCATGGTGAAAGTCGTTTTTGTCTGTGACGATCGCTGTTTTTGCTCTCTGGAATCGACCCAAAGGGCGGTCGGCGGGACGGGGAGGCGAAAACTGGCTGACAGGCCAACCTCGGTCTCAGCAACGTCCGCGCCTGTTGGGACGGCATGGCGGGTCACCCTCGGCCTCAGCGACGTTAGCATCTTGTTTGACGCCCTGAACGGCGTTGGCCTCCCGCCCCCTGGCGCCACCCTCGCCAGCGTTCAGACGACATACGGCGGCCTGACACGAACCATGGACGCTCGGCGCCGCCCATGGCCCTGGCAGCGCGGACGGGGCGCGGCGGCGCACCAGGCTCCTGCCGGGCAGGTGGTCCACACCCCGGGCTGCCGGCCAGGCCCCTCCGTCCGCCATCTGCCGAGGCTGGTTTTATGCTCGCCGTCGGCCGTCGGCAGGCTTGAGTGGAGCTGGGGCTGTTTAAGCAGTGTGGAGATGCAGAGCCGTAGTGGTTTGGTCGAGGATGCGGTCTTGTGACGCGATCTTGTCGTAAAATGGCTCCGGGTGCAGCTCCGGATGTGCCATATTTCCTTCCGGCAGCAGCCAGGTGGTGGAGGTGTTGCTAGGTTTGCAATCAGATCAGCTCGCGCATGCACATTCCAGAGACAACGGCTTACGCGCATTTTATTTTCCTAATTGCTGTGAAATACACTCAAAGCATGTTTTGCGGTCACTGTCGATCGCTCAAAACTGCTCAAGGTTTTCGGATGCTAGCGCGCCGCTGTGCTCGCAAATGACGAAAGTGGAGCGGATGACATAGCGATGCGCGCCCTTCTGGGCTCTCCGCGCTCTCCCCCTGGGCTTTCCGCGCTCTCCTTCTGGGCTCTCCGCGCTCTCCCTCTAAGCTCTACGCGCCAGACGCCCGTCCCGTCTGGAGCGGGGCGCCTCGCGCACGACAGATTTGTCTTCCAAACACGATACCTCCAGACCAAAACAGCGTGCGTGTGTCGTGAGCACCGTGCGCTGTGCCGAGTGCAGGCGGCCGGCGGGAGCGGGGCGGGCTCACCTGGCCGCCGACAGGTCTGGGATCTGGGTCATGGGTCCCGCGGCCACCGACGCTGACGCACCGGGCGCCCTTTGTCGGCGTTGGAGCGCTTCCGGCGCGCTCGGCCGGCCGACGGTCCGAACAAGTGCGACGGAAACACCACACGGTTCCGGCCAGAGTGGACACAGAGCTGCGACGCGACCGCCGCTCCGCAGCTGCAACCTACCAGCATGACCTTCCAGCGCCGCTGGCTACAGACAGCCACCGCCTCCCAGCGCCGCCGGCTACAGACAGCCACCGCCTCCCAGCGCCGCTGGCTACAGACAGCCACCGCCTTCCAGCGCCGCTGGTTAGGCTACAGACAGCCACCGCCTCCCAGCGCCGCCGGCTACAGACAGCCACCGCCTTCCAGCGCCGCTGGCTATAGACAGACACCGCCTCCCAACGCCACCGGCTACAGACAGCCACCGCCTTCCAACGCCAAGATAGCCACCGCCTCCCAGCGCCGCCGGCTACAGACAGCCACCGCCTTCCAGCGCCGCTGGCTATAGACAGCCACCGCCTCCCAACGCCGCTGGCCACAGACAGCCACCGCCTTCCAGTGCCGCTGGCTACAGACAGCCACCGCCTCCCAACGCCACCGGCTACAGACAGCCACCGCCTTCCAGGGCTGCTGGCTATAGACAGCCACCGCTTCCCAACGCCGCTGGCCACAGACAGCCACCGCCTCCCACCGCCGCCGGCTACACAGCCACCGTCCCCCAGCGCCCCAGCTACAGACAGGCACCGCCTCCCAGCGCTGCCGGCTTTAGACAACCACCGCCATCCAGCACTGCTGGCTTTAGACAACCACCGCTTCCCAGCGCTCCGGCTGCGCGGTGGAGCCGTTTTTACACGCAGTGTCTCACCCGCCCGGTGCGGTGGGTGAGATCCAGTGTGGCGGAGGTCTGAGCTGGCCAGGCGCGCCACCCGCCGCGGGCGCCGCCGCCGCCGCCGCCGCCGCCGCCACTGCTGCGCCGCAGCGCCGCACCGCGCCGAAAGCGAAAACTGTGTTACAGAGGTAGTGGGCGGCCGGGCGAGCGCGGAGCGAGGCGCGTGCTGGTGACCGGCGCCGCAGTGACCGGCGTGACATTGACCTTGCCGCACGCGCCGGGCTGAGTGCAGCCGCAGCGGGCGGGTGCGTCGGTGGTGGTGACAGGGACAGGGCAGCGGCCCCTGGCTGTGGTGCATCGGCCAGTGTCCGTCTCCTGCGCAGCGCAGCGCCGCGCCCGTCCGTGATTGGACCTGCAGCCAAGTGGTAGGTAAATTAGTTATGTGATGTGAGGGTTATTGAGGGCGGTGTTACCAGTGAGAACACTTGGCAGTTGTAGCCAAAGCTGGTGCGGTGCTCCGTGACCGTGTGCTATGAAACTCAGCTGTAGCTAATTAATATCAGCTGACAAATCTAAATTCATATTAGCTCAAAGAAAGCCTTTCATATCGGCCTGAAATTCGTGACGCACTGAAGATTCCTCTCTGCCTGCAATTTAGCAATGCACTGCAGTTCACAAAATACTTGTATTGTGGTTAACAAAACCTATCATTTGTTTGTGATCGATTGTACAGAGGCGACTTATTCGGCTGGGGCAGGGGGCAGCTGACCCCCAGCTCCGGGCAACATTTGGAGACATTCTACGGCGGTGCATGGATAGGAACGAATTGAAAATCCGGTTGCGCCCCCCCCCCCCCCTCCTGCTCTCCTTCCTCCATCACCACAGAGACTCCGCCGGCACTGTACGTATGCCAAGTTAACACTAAGAACATTGCATGGCTATCGCACCACTGATAAGCAACCTAAGACGGGCGACTTTGGTATCAGGCACCCTCCGTCCGGTATACGCACTTACGCTTAGCCGAGATACAGCAACTTCAGTAAAGACAGGTGTGAAAATATTCGGCTATTTTTTGTACCATGAATCGTCGTGTTTGGAGCATAACAAAAATCGGTAGCTTTTCGCATGGGTTTCGTGTTGGTTTTGGTCTTGGTATTGATCGTCACCGTATCACGTTGTTCTAATGGGGTCGCTTTGCATACCGTTACTCAGAAATACGATGGCCTCTCAAAGAACGCTATTTTAAAGCGCCTAAGACGTGATTGTCGGGGCGCAATGTAAATTGGATGGCTGCCTAACGGACTGCCATCCATAATTAAGATTTGTTTAAGATTTCATTCATGAGAATAATCGCTCTTCATTATACAGGCAGTAGCCGATGGCATCCAGCTACTTTGCACCTGTCGTTCCGAGTTTTGGTCATTTGTGTACGGCAGTGTGGGTTATATTGGGGAGCAGAACAATGCGCCCCGAAATATGCCATGCTCTAATTTGTACTTGAGCTGGAGCAAATTCAGGCCGTGGCAGTGTTCATGAGGAACTCAAGGCATGAACAGACGTCGGCGACGGTGTCGCAGATCTGTCAGGTGATGCCAGTTCACGAGTATAGCTGCTTGGAAATGGCATTTGATCAACATACAATTGCCTGCACCAAGATAGGCCTCCGAACAAATGTGACTATGCTTTGAGGGCACGCCACTACTATCACAGGCACTGCTGGTGACCAGAAGGTTCGATAAATCCTCACCTATACGCTCACGAATACCCTATGGATGCTACGATCATCGAGTGTTAACAAGTGACGGTATTCCATTGGGCGTGACGATAATTCGCACGTAACTTGCACTGACTACCGGGTGTGACACTTCTCACCTGTGAGCGTGAGTGAGCTGAATGACGGTTCTCACCCGTCGGCTTCGGTGTGGTTGTTCGTGTTGTCTGCCAGCGCGCTGTGGAGAATCATATGTAATGATTCTCGCCCATTTCTCACGCTGTACTTCTCGCTTACTTGCACTCGTTAATGCTCGCCGGGGAACATTGTTAATTGACGCCGGTTTGTACCGGGCCTGCCCAAGGCGTGTGCGTGACGGTTAGCAGCTGTCTTTGGTAGCCAGCGTCCTCCTGATTCCCACCTGAGTGTGCGGACAGCCCGGTGATCTTCACCCGGATGCCGGATGAACGGTCTGGTGATTTTCTGCCACCTGCGTGTGAACAGTTGGTGCCCCGTAGTCAGCTGTCTCTGTGAAGGATCCGTGAATTTCTCCTGCCGTTTTGGTGAAGCTTGTCGGGCTATTGGCTTCGGCGAACGAGCTTCCGCCATAAGTGATCTGTGCTGACTAGGGGAGGCCGCCGGCTCTGCTACGTTGAAGGAACCACGGCGGTTTCCTGACAGATACGACAGTTCCGGGGTGCGCGTCACCCGCGGACTGCGATCTCGCCGGGAGGACTAGATCTTTTCGCCCGGGGGCTGCCCTGCCGGGGCCAGACGAAGGCGCCGCCGCTTCTTTTTCGGCACGGCGTCTCAGATGTGGTTGGGATGTGCCAGCTGCGAAAAGCTGTAGGTCATTACTCTTCGTTCAGTCATCAGCGTGCCAAGCCCCAGCTCGGCCAGCGGTGGAGGTGTCGGGCTCGTGTTGCACCAGAAATCAGTCATTAGGTCGCGCCGTGGCCAGCTGTAACCACCCTGAGATGTGGACTTATCGCAAAGTTGACGTCATGTTTCAAAGTAAGGCACGTTGAGTTGAGATCGCAACAACGGAGTGGAGTGAAAGCTGTGAATACATCATTGTAATTCATGCGATGGCTCACCGTGAATCGCGGTGAGCCTTCCTTTGTTTTACTAGTGTTCTATTACAGTTTCGTGCTCCACATACGAACGCTGTTTTCTGGGACGGGAATGCCATCCACGTCGCCTGCCGAGGCAGCAGATCAGGAGCCTCAGACCAGCGCTCGTCCCGCAGCCGAGTCCGGAACCGGCATCGAGTCCGGTCAGAGCCCAGCGGACACAGTGTGGTCCCGCTGCTGGGCCGGGCCCTGGGGATGTGTGGTAGAACCCCAGCCTGGAGACGGGTGCCGGTAGGGTGCAGTCTGGCCCGGCTCTGGGGCTAGGTCCTGGGAGCGTGTGGTGGAACCCCAGCCTGGAGACGGGTGCCGGTAGGGTGCAGTCTGGCGCGGCTCTGGGGCTAGGTCCTGGGAGCGTGTGGTGGGACCCCAGCCTGGAGACGGGTGTCGGTAGGGTGCAGTCTGGCCCGGCTCTGGGGCTGGAGCGGGGCAGGGTACAGACGAGCCGTGCGCCCCTCCGTCCCCGCCGTCTAATGTCTGCCCCGCATGCACCGTCACTTTCCACAGTGTGCATGCGCGGCGGGTCATTAGCTGCAACTGGTGGGGGAAGTGGCTGGCGCGCGGCCGACCGGTGTCGGCTGACCTCAACCGGGCGTAGAGGTCACGGCGAGCGCGCGGGGGCTCGCGTGGGCGGCACTAAGGAACGGCGCCTGGCGGCAACCAGACTGGACCGGCTGCTGGATGCGGTGTCCCATTCGGGCAGTTTGCATAGGCTGGGCTGGGACCACATGGGCTGTACGGAAGGGTAGGGGAGCCACATGGCTGTACGGAAGGGTAGGGGAGCCACATGGCTGTACGGAAGGGAAGGGGGAGCGGGCGTCGCACCACGACATGGACTTTGAAGAGATACCAGTCCTCATTAGGCGGATAACGCGGAGAACATGTACCGCTACCGCTAGAGGATTGGCACAGGGAAGACATGTCATCTTGTAAGACGTTCACTACAAGGCTACAGACGCCCAGGCAAGGTCCTCCCCTCTCCCCCTCCCCCTACGGAGGGGCCGCCAGCGCGTAGATGAACCGTTCTCACTGCGGGCGCATAGTCCGGCAGCTGGCGCACGGCTCCGGACGAGCTGCGCTTCTGGGAAGCGACCTCCTTGGAGGGGGCTGCCGCAGCAACTCGACGCCCCGCCACTCCGATGCCAGCGGTCAGTTGCCGCTGCTGTCGTCGGGAGACGGTCTCGCGCCGGCAGGGGTCAGTAGCCGGTGCTGCCGTCGGGAGACGGTCTCGCGACGGCAGGGGTCAGTAGCCGGTGCTGCCGTCTGGAGACGGTCTCGCGCTGGCAGGGGTCAGTAGCCGGTGCTGCCGTCGGGAGACGGTCTCGCGCCGGCAGGGGTCAGTAGCCGGTGCCGCCGTCGGGAGACGGTCTCGCGCCGGCAGGGATCAGCCGTCGGGAGGCGGTCTCGCGCCGGCCGGGGTCAGCTGCCGGTGCCGTCTGGAGACGCTCTCGCGCCGGCAGGGGCTCGCTGCCGGTGCCGTCTGGAGACGGTCTCGCGCCGGCCGCGACGCGCCCTGAGCGGTGCACCTGATTGGCGGCGCAGATAGCCGCCGACTATTGTCCACCGGCGGCCAATTAGCCGGCCGCGTCCGCCCGTTTAAAAACCGCCGGCTGCGACAGCGATGCAGCAGATGTGCCGGCATTGTCTTCGGTCCGGTGCGCTTGCTACTGCGCTGGTGCCAGAGAGGAATGACCCAGTACTCGTGAAGGTCGGGCGCCATGCACTGGCGCCGACGCGCCGTTCCAAGGCTAGCCGCGTGGCAGCGCCCGTTCGGTCGTGCGGAACGGGCTGCACTGTACGGCCAGGGGAGCGCGGAACGGGCCGCTGGGAATAGGCAGTGGGCCGTTGGTAACGGGCAGTGGGCCGCTGGGAACGGGCAGTGGGCCGCTGGGAATAGGCAGTGGGCCGCTGGGAACGGGCAGTGGGCCGCTGGGAATAGGCAGTGGGCCGTTGGGAACGGGCAGTGGGCCGCTGGGAATAGGCAGTGGGCCGTTGGGAACGGGCAGTGCGGTCTCCGTAAACGGGCAGCAGGGCCGTCGCGAACGGGCAGTGGGGCCGTCGTGAACGGGCAGTGGAGTCGTCGGGGACAGGCCTTGGAGCCACCGGGAACTGACATTGGTGTCAACTGGGAAGGGGAGTGGGGACACGAGCGAAGAATGCGCGTGTCAGTGTGGGTTGAGTATATGAAAACACGAAGAAAACGGAACGGAAAGGACCTGGTTCTGGAGGCAGGGCGTGACTGAATCACTTTCTGAAAATGCCCGGGTAGAACTGACCAGAGAGGACTGACCACAACAGGCCTCAGGTAGGTCCGGTAGGCTGAGGAAGATGTGGGGGCGCCGTAAGGCGAGCTTTATCCTAACACCGCGCACTGATGGTGCGGCGCCTGGGCGTCACCGGCCGCCGCGGCGCGCTGATCCAGACTGTGCCGTGTGGTGGTGCGGCGCCCGGGCGTCACCGGCCGCCGCGGCGCGCTGATCCAGACTGTGCCGTGTGGTGGTGCGGCGCCCGGGCGTCACCGGCCGCCGCGGCGCACTGATCCAGACTGTGCCGTGTGGTGGTGCGGCGCCCGGGCGTCACCGGC